TTGTAATTTCAGGTCACCGGAAACTCGTGATGATGATTTCGGGGAATTTCAAACAAGTAAACAAACAGAGGTGAACACTACTTCCACAAAAACGAACGTAATTTCTAGTCAGACCAAAAAAACTGTGCCGATCGCTTCGCGGCCGAATTACAATGTTTCTGTAGACCCTTCGGTGAGTCTGCCGATGCCGTGCTCATTTAACAATTTCTCTACTCAGTCACCTCCGATCGTCGTATCATTCATTCTGCAGTGAGTTGCAGTAAAACAATCTTTACCGATCGCCCCCAAGCTCCCCGTGTATACATGATAGGTACAAATGTGTAAAGTGGTCAGGGAGTGGACCTGTGTTGAGGGAAGCACAAAGATAATGAACCGTTATGGTCGGCACACGGGGTACATAGTCCAGTTGTACATGCATAAGAAGGACATCACTGCTGTTCAAGATTTCCAACCAAACTGCTGGTGCGTCCTTTGAACCTCAGTCTGAGAGATGAGAGGTACTCTGTCTTGTTTGGTAGTGTATTTCCTCATGTCTTGTCCCCCGGGCATGTGTTGATCTTGTCGTGAGTTTCTCCGACACGAAGTGGTGGCGATTGATAGACATGCACAATACATATCCTAACCAGGGAAACCTAGTAATCTGATTTCGATGTGATTCAATTTCCCACCCACTTATTCTTAAATACACGGCCACTCATCTCAGCGTTCCTAATTCACATTTCCCGTCCTACTTGCGGTTAAGTACGTAAACGTGGTCTACCGAAGATCTCCAGTCGATTAATGTCCTCCACGCGCAGGCTTCAAGTTTGATAACATTAAAAGAATAAGTTCAGTTCCGGTCTGATAACCATTAACCATATACTTTCGTGCGCCGGTTTCTGTTGCTGTCTTTTGGTTGCCCCTTTGGATAAAACAGCAGAAGGATGATTAGAATGTTGAGAACAGATTCAAGCGGAAGATAGCGCATTAAAAGAGTAAAGGGAAAGGGATGGTTCACTAACTATTTTGAGCTTGTACAATCTATTCCCGGAGTCATTTGTTGCATCCCAGCTGGTACTTACTGCAGAAAACCTCGATTTATAAATCTCTATCGTGATCAACGGAAAACACAAGGACTTAATCAGGGGAGGGGTATAGTAATACAGCATGCATCACCGGTGTTGAACCAGGATAGCATAATTTTTTCTGTCAGTTCGTTGCCAATCCCTGTTGCTCGTTTCCTATCTTCACTGCAATTCGTTCTATACCCGAGATCTACCAAAGGAGGTAATCTGAATTTCATTATATGGATTCCTAACGGATACTCCACACTTGGTGGTGTAAAATTCTGGTGTGTTAAGCCCGTATTCCAGCTATGCGTCCATGGTGTGCGTCATGCTAAACTGGTGTCGTGCTGCTGACTTCTTCCATTGTATTATTCGCTTTGAATGTACCACGTTTACATGAGCGTGCGTTCCTTGTTTCAGTCTGAACTGACTCCATTGGAGTCCGTGCAACACGAGTGGCTTCGTTGCGTTGTTCAGTGTGCCGAATTGATGCGAGACTCGTTGGATGCTTTGGAACCACTAACCTCGCATGTCGACCGTGCTGAGTTCAATGATACTGAAGAGGGCAGTGAGTTCTTGTACGGTACGTATACATTCCTCTTTGGAGTTTCCAGTTGATTCTACTAAAAAACCAACCAACTTGTTGTTTTCTTGTGCTTTCGTGGGTAGACTCCTGTGTTTGTTTGTCCTTCTACTTCAACATAGCACTGTTTCCAAATAAAATTTACTACTCCTCTTATCATTTTCTCTTTCAGATATCCTTGAAGTTTATCTGGTTGCAAACCGCATACGTGGGTCGGCTGAACGGCTAGGTGAGTGTGACTTTCCAGTTGCGTGGTGAACTAAAACGTTTTTCCAATCGCTTCCGTTGACGGACTCATTTGCATTGTTTTCTATGTTAATAGACCGTGCTACCCAGGTATAGACACAAACTGTCTGTAGCAGTTGCACAGGCACACCGATCTTTAGATGACTACATTCGCCAAACACATCGAAGGACACTTTTTAAATGCAAAGACCATCAGAAATAACACTGAACACACCTATGGATCATTTTTCATTCTCCCTTTTTTTCAGGCCTGGTTACTTTGCACTAAAATTTCTATGCAGCAACTACTCCGGTAGCTGATTTGCAAAACAACACCTACCCAAGAAGATATGAAAATCACTTAGCTGCCATCGCAGAACCTGTTCGGGTCTGGCGTGACTCGTTGTGGTTATCATAACTTGGATCGTCTAACTTTGCTTTCAAATTCGCCTCCTCAAATTGCCAAAAACTGTTTATTATCTGTCGAAACAATCACAACAAACAGAAATTGTTTTCTGTGTCGATTGTGAAAAGTTCAGTAGTGCAGCGGCGTTCGTCAAGGATGCCCTCTCTCGCCGTTCCTGTTCAATTTTGTCGTAGACGAAATATTGGGGAACGCACTAAGTGGTCTCCAAAACGTAGATATTGAATGGACAACTGGAGAATAGCTGTGCGATTTAGAGTACGCCGATGACATCGTCTGTCTGTTCGAATGTATTGGGGGACGCGCAAAGCACACTTGGTAGACTAACAAGTGCAGTAGCCACATTCGGTATGTGCTTTTCACCTTCAAGTGCAAAGTGATGCTGCAGGGCTAGGTTTGCTCTATTCCCACTCTGCAACTAAATGGTCAGGAGTTAGTTACGGTGTATTATTTCTCCTACTTAGCTAGTTGCGTGACCAATGACGGTAGCGCAGCAAAGGAGATAACCGTCCGCATTTCCAAGGCTCGAGCAGCATATGCATGACTGAAACACCTCTGCCGTAGACGCGACGTTTCACTGAGTCTGACAGGTCGTGTATACTGCGCTAGCGCTCGTTCAGCTCTGCCTCATGGTTGTAAGACCTTGAATTTGCGAGTGGAAGATATCCGTCGTCTAGAGGTTTTCGATTATCGGGGTTTACACAGTTTAGCTCATGTGCGATGGAGCGAACGGGTTAGTAACGTGGAGGTAAACCGTTGTGTGTTTAGGAGTCAATCAGGCATAAACCTGCTAGCACACCGAATTCAGATTGGTAGACTTCGCTGACTAGGGCACGTATTGCGTATGCCCAGCCATTGTCTGCCGCACCGCGCTTATTCATTGTAGCTAATCCTTGCTGGAGGAAACCACGTGGAGGTCAACAGATGACGTGGAGACGAGGCATGAAGAATTGCACAGAGCCATTAAGTAGAGTAGGTGTCTCTCGCCTTCCAAGTTGGAGTCCGAAAGACTCCACAACTGGTTGGTTGGAGACATTGAAGAATATGGCAGCGAACCGGCAGCAGTGGCGTTCTTGTTGTCGTTTCTTATCAGGTCAGAATGCTTGAAGCGGTATGTATGTAGAGTTCGATTGCGTACTCTTTGTGTTGACCATAGTGGTTCACCTTGTTCTCTCTCCCTCAAAGTAGGTCCAATCCCTGTCCACCTTAAATTTTACCACTAACCTTGTATGGAGGTGGTGGTGGCGCAGTGGTTTGGTTGCTGTCACCGGCGTGCTTTGGACCCTATAGTCCGAGGTTCGAGCCCCGCCACCGCCACCTGACTTTGGTGGTAGGCAGCTCTGCTGTCGTCCGGTTCAATACCACTCCTAACCTATCGGGGCCTTATGTGTTTCGCCACTCCAAGTTCCGGGACTTAGGTTCCCGATTTCAACCACTGAACAGCAGGTCCTCGTGACTATGGGGTTTACCCCGTCTGCTGTTCATCACACCTAGGTGTGTAATATAAAAAAATGCATTGTGAGTTTGGCAGCGATCAGTGAAGTTCGCCTCACTGTATTTCGATGTACGGGAATGATGATTCACTGCACTTGCGTAGCTCAAATTCAAATCGCAGCTGCCCCCGGCCCCTCACCCCCAGTGCATCCGGTGTGTTCACAAAGTTCCGGAGGCTGAAACGCTTGAAAGCTGTTTGGGCGGTCTCATTGCACACCCTGGGATTAGTTCAGTATGCATTGCACCCGGGAAAAGCTCTTTTGAATGAAACTGTGATGTGCATCAAAAAAGTTGTTATAAGGGTATCAAAAGCAGCTGCTGGATTAACCTGACAAAGTCTTTTTTAGGACAGTGGAAACGTTTTTTCCTATTTCTGCCTGTCTGGGTTAGAGAATGCTCTCGAACGTTCACCCCGATGCTTAGTATAAAGCATGATAAAATTTCAGTGTGGTCCATTCCACCAATGATTCAGTAACCCGAAAAGCTGATCCAATAAGGAAGGTATAATACGTGCGATCTTTCATATTCAATGAAACGTCAAATCGAGGCGACCCGTATATTTTTATTCAACGTACGTAGCTCGGGTTCTGGCTATGCGCACGGTCTGCACTTTTTTGGTATTACTGCCATACCCTATACACTCATACAATTTCGTGTACGTGTCATTCTGGAGCGCGTCACTTTTCCGATGACCCTCATTCAGTTATCCAGCTTTGAGAGACTACTTCAAGTATTCTTTGGTGTTTTTCTACGATAGAACCACGCGGAAACGGCTTTTTGGGACATTCTTGCCGGTCGAACTGTTTACTTCACCAAAGTGTGTAAACACTGTAACTTCAATTCGTGTGCTCTGAACGGAACCGATCGACGCATTTCCAACAACTGAGTCAAACGCCCCGCATGGTTCCAGTAGAAACTCAATGTTTTTTCAGTGATGTGACGTAATTAATAATACAAATTTGAACAGTGCAAGGAAGAATTATTGGGAATTCGATATAATGTCCTGGAGACGAATAATTTGGCAACGATCGGGATCAAACTTGTCCGACGATGGCTTGTGGTATTGTTGTAAACGCGAACAGTCGGTGATTAATGCTAGAATATTAAGATGCACTCCGGACACCAAACTTTGTATAATAAAGTTATGGTAGAGTTTGTAAGGATAATTCGTAGAAGCCCATCAAGTTCGACAGTCGTTTCCTTTTTCAGTACCTTGATCAAAGATTAGAGGTTTTTTACAACACCGCTCTTAGGGCTTCGGCTGTTAGATTCCAGTGTATTTGCTGAAGCGCATGACTGGAATAGTTCTTCGAACCCCATTTTCTCTAGCTTCTTCTTATCAAATTCAGGATACAAATGGTTATTGTGTCCAAAGAAGAGTATTGAACAAATGCGTCGCCTTGGATCAACTATGCCTCAGAAAGCACAGTCCCTAAAGCGTGCATTTTTAATGATTTTGGTGACGTAGGTAATAACTGACTACTCAATAAAGCTTTGAAAACAAACTTGTTTGTAATCTTAGACTCGGATATCGCACTTCTTTTGGAACTGGTCTTCCCTCAGTTTGGGCACTTGCTATTTGAACCGTGAAGTTCGTCAGTGAATCGTTTACTGCGGACCCAACTGAACACTGAACACAAATCTGAAACGCATAACGGTACAGACTTATGTGTCACTTTTTCACTCAGCCCATGCGCATTTATTGGCACTATACACTCGTATGTGTGTATGACTTTCGTTTCCCAGGGTTTCACATCCAGCGGTGTTTGCGTTCGTAATTACCTAAAATTAGAATTTCTCGCTTTGCATGGCGTTTCTGTTTGTAGCACCTAACTCAACTATGTTGGATACAGGTCACACGCGCGTGCGCCTCTACTGTCTATCGTACCAATGCTCACCATCGAAAAGGAGATTTCACTGGAATCGTGCACCCCTTGTTGTTCGATAGAGACTTGCACGGATGACGAAGTCCAAATTATGATCGTAATCACTAACGTTGTATCATACATAGTACTGAAAATCTGCCACCACGGTTACCTTTGTAGCTCCGGAATTTGCAGGCAAGTAGTCACCGTTATTCGAATCTCACTACCCCCTCCCCATCTTCTCGCTGTCGTCCTCAAAACACCGTGTTTGCCTAATAAAAGCTTCACATTGCTTTTGACAGTCGACTAACCCATCTTATTTCCCAGCAGAGAACAATGCACCCCACTGTCTATGACTTATCCCAGTTTCCCACTTACTTTCCAGCCCTTCTACACGCTCCTTTACAAGCAAGATTTAGCGAAATCCAGACATCCATGTCGAAGCTGTTCCAGTATATTGTAAAAGATGAAATCAAAGTGAGTTAACGCTCATTTTATATGATTAGAAGGTAAACCGTTTTTTACGTTACCTTCTCCTGCTTCTAAGTGGTGTTTTTGATCGCTCCAGGACTGTATTTCGTTACTCGTTTCTAAATAACCGACAAAAATGCTCATAGTTGATTGTGGTTATAGGCTGGTTGGTGCGCACACACACGCAAATTGATTGTTTATATCCGTATGATAATCCGGTGACCTGGTTATCTTCCACCAGTTCTGTCTCTCACACATATTTGTACGTGCTTTCCCGTTGGACCACGTGTGCTTCATTCCTTGCTCACTGACCTTCTCCGATAGATAGTCGTATAGAGTGCCGACGGGCAGCCGAATGATAATGAAGCTTGCTAATCGGTTTTGGCTCGCCTAATTTCAGACGCTAGGTTTGTCTTGTCAATGATCCAGTCTATTTGTAAGAAAGAGATTTGCTTAATCGATAATTGATGCTTCTGTGTTCGCTTGCTGTGTGCATTTATGAATGGGGTGGTTGGCAGATGTGAAAGATCATGCGCAATTGGGTCACCATTTCTCCGTGACACAACCGGATCTCTATTGCTTAGCTTGTGATTACTGAAAGAAACAACGCGAATATATTGTGACTTACAGGCATTTCATTCCGCTCCCTTGTTTTCCACGAGAGGCGAATAAATTGCTTTGGCTCAAACGGGATTGGGGCATGCTTGTGCACCCGACTGAACCTTACAGCTACACAAAGGAATTGCTTCACATCGCGTTGAGAATAAAAGTTGTTCACCGCTTAACAGTGTGATGTGTTGTTCCGCGCGTCAAACTAGGAACGTTCCGTTGACTCGACCCTCTTATCGGGGTTACAGTGTTGACTCGGCATGTGACCCATTTTCGTACTAGTTGATGGGATCCTAGTTCGACAGTCCCCTGTCGATGCCGATCTTGTCTGAGGTTCCATACTTGCATTCATTCTATTTATGCTACTTGCTAACGATCTTAAGTAACAATAAAGGTATATTCCACGAAGCCAGTGCAACATGAATTCCGTGTAAAACTTCCAAAGATATATTCTATTCAATCGTTTCGCCGACGATGCCATCCTCGATTTTCATTTTTCCTACCCTCCCCCATGCTAACCTCTACCAACAGCTATCGGGATAGTATTATTTTCAGTGTATCACTTGCTTCCCTCATTTCCGCATGGGGTTCTGTGTTTGTTGTTTCAATGCCCCAAAATCTTGTCTCCTTTCATACTCTTTGAAACATGTCCGGTTATTCTCTTCAATTTTTGTTGTACTCACTTCCTCTTCATCTCACAGATTCTCTCCTGGATTTATTCATAACTTCTTCTATGTCTTAAATATCCTTTTATTTCTTCATTCTCCACTTTTGGTACGCGCAAAATCGATTTCCTATTCCCTGTCAAACGCTTCTTTATACCCACCTATCTTCTACTTTAACACAAAACTCCAATCCTCCGGATGCTCGAATACTGCAGTCATCCATGGGGTGCAGCTTTATATTCTGTCCTTTTTCTGAATTGAGTTCAGCCTAAGGCCATCCAGCCGGTCAACAAACCTTTATCGCTTTTTTACCCTTGCTAATTTGGTTTCCGTACTTCTGAGTTTGCTTCGGTGGTTTTCCTCCCCTGTCTTTTTCTCGTCCATCGCTTTCTCGGGTCGCCAGTCACCCTTATCCGGTGTCCCCAGACATCGAACCTCTATCTTTCAATGTTCTTTTTTTCCCAGAACTGTGAAATTCCAGGACACCTTTCCCATTCCCGAAACATTCAACGATTTTGAACCTTTCTCATTCTATCTTCCACTTAAATTTTCTCTCAACATTCCAATCTTCATTCTACCTTTCTATCCAAATGAGTGACCGAAAGAAAGTAACTAAAACCGACGCACGACAGTGCATGGTTGTTGGGCATGGAAAAATGAACTGAACCTTTCTCTCCCGTCATCAAATTGGTTCTCATCTAAATGTTTCCACATTTACCTTCCCTTTTACAGTATGTCTTTGACTATGGAACTCACCCATCACGACGAGACTACACCTCGACGTGGTGTGATGGTTTGTGCACCTCTGTGACCCAACGAACTACACAGGATGGCTTTATAAAGCCGGGAGATCTCATCATGTCTGGAAGGTCAATGGGTAGAGGTCAGACGAAGTTCATTCTCCTGGTCCTCCAAGTTAGCGGTTCGACTGGAATTTGCGTTTCAGTCGATAAAAACCGGTAGAGGAATAATCGATCCGAATAAATAGGCCTACACTTCGCCTCACCCCCTGTCTTGCGGTTAAGTTCTTGTTAGAATTAACACATAAACATACCTTCGGTCTACAACGAACTAAGTCTGTACGGCTGTTCGTCAACAGCAGCGGCGTTCGTCAAGGATGCCCTCTCTCGCCGTTCCTGTTCAATTTTGTCGTAGACGAAATATTGGGGAACGCACTAAGTGGTCTCCAAAACGTAGATATTGAATGGACAACTGGAGAATAGCTGTGCGATTTAGAGTACGCCGATGACATCGTCTGTCTGTTC